TGTGAGTGTCTGTGAAAGGAAGTGAGAGTCCATCAGTGTGACAAACACGGAGAGCCTGGAAGTACTGACTCTGGGTGAAATACGGTTAATGACTGTGTTGTACAACAGAGACTAAGTGAAAGACACAACACAGGCATTCAGTGTGCTGCCACAGAAAATCAATGAAGATGCTGCACTGACGCTTAAAGGTACTATGACTGTGTTCTATCATTATTAACCCTCTTCCCTCTTACTGTATGTGTGTGTGTGCGATAAACTACGATGTTTTGTTCACCTACAACAATTCATCACGTTCTCAGAGAACTGTGGACCCAGTAGTCTGGTACCGGGGACCAAAACCCTCATTTGTTGGGTCGTTTCTTTTTAAAATAAACCTCAGGGTGAAGTTAGAGTTAGAGGTTTGGTCAGATTTCAGGTGCATGTCAGAACCTGGCAAAGCTAAGGTCACGTGATTGATAACTATGGAAACAACGTCTCTCAGGGTTTTTGTCTCTATACATAACTCTAGTACATCCTGTACTGCTGCTACAGTAAATGTTCTCACCAGCTCTGACCCTGAAACAACCTCACTGCATGTGAGTAGTTACTGTATGTTTGAAGCACTTAACAGAAATGCATTAGTTTTGACACAGAACACATGTCGGGAAGTTTGAGGTGAAATGACGAGGCTTACAGGTCGAGAGGGTGAAGGAAAGTGAACCGTTTGTCAAATTCACTTGGCAGCTGGCGGACTCAACCCTGCACCTAATGCCCCCCCAAAAAAATACCCCACCCCAGATGGGACTTGAACCCACAATCCCTGGCTTAGGAGGCCAGTGCCTTATCCATTAGGCCACTGGGGCTTGGCTTGAAAGCACTTCCAAATTTGCTCAAAGTCAAAGTCAATGCCATGGCAGGAAAAGATTTCATCAATACTGGAAGTGATCGACGACTTAGCCGAAAGGCAGAGAAGCTCAAGGTCAGGGTGGGGATTTGGGGAGTGGGAGTAAAGGGTAAGGTAAGGTTGAGATGGTTTACACGTGTGCTGAAGAGACAGGGGATCTACTACATGTACCAGAGGGATAAAGGATGTTGGGGACGGAGCTGTCAGACACAGAGAAGGGGAGTGAGACCCCAGAGTAGATTTACAGCTGCTGTGATGGAGGACATGAGGATGGCAGGTCTAACAGGAGAGGAGGCAAAATTCAGCACCAAACCCTGAAGAGCGACGCCGAGAGAAGAGGAAGGAAGGACAAAGCTAATTAATGGAACTCTTTTTTTTTGTCCCCAGCGTAAATACCATTCTAAAACTGCCACATTATAACTCATTTGTCATGTGCGAGAATACGAGAGATGCATTTAGGGGAAAAAATGAGACTCTGCTGAAGAGCTGCACAGTATAACAGAAGCTCAGTGAGACTTAAAGATTAAACTGCTGAAGCTGCAGCGTCCTGCTGCCTCCACATATAACTTCATTTTATTACCCTCCCGTTTTTATGGTTGCTCTTCTTTTATTTTCATTTTTTTTCCTTCCAGTCTAGGGCTTTGTAACTTTGTGAAGGAGAGTGCTATTCAATAAAGCAGTGGCAGCGGTGGATGTTGATGCAGTGTTAAATGAGTAACACACTACTTTGCACACTTATTAACACTTCATTTTTCACGGTGTTAAGTAGCGTTATTGTTTTGCGACTGTCGTCGTCGTCGTTCAACATTCCAGTCTTCTCGGCACAGAGTACAGACTGCAGGACTGCTCGTGCTCTCTCTTCTCAGAGCTCCACATGAATATTCAATCACACACAACTAAAAAAAAAAAACACTGTAGGGCAGTGGCTGCCAAACTGTTTCTGCTGCACTCCCCGCCCTCCTTTTGAAGACAACTAAACTTAAATTAAAAAAAGCAAAAAAATAAAATAAAATAAATAATTCCTACAAAATTGCTATTCTAATAAAACAAACAAAATAAAATTAGAAAAACTACAGTGTACAGTGTAGCGGTTATCACGCCTGCCTTAAGAGTAAAGGGTCCTGGGTTCGATTCCCAGAGAAACCACATGCTTGATAATGTTAATCCTCCTCTGTAAGTGGCTCTGGATAAAGGTATCTGCTAAATGTATATATTGAAATAAAATATCAACATTGGCCCTGTCCCACAATAGCTTTGTACCCCAAAGGGGGCTCGCCCCTCACTTTTGGAGGCACTGCTGCATTGATTATTCTTCTATTTATTTTTCTTAGTCTGCGTGTCATCATGTCGTGTCGAGTGCGTGAACATCGCTTTGCTTTTTGATCGATAAAAGGAACCGCGCTCCTAAAAAAGTTCATTTGTTGCGTAGACAGCAACATCGCCACCAGGCTGCTGAGGGATGCAGTTAATCACTGCACGCTCATTTCGTATAACTATAATTCTGACTCGCACTAGTCGTGAGTGTAGATCACGAATAGTGGTGTCAGCATTTCTGTGTTTTGAATGGTTCAGCGGTGTGTGTGAGTGTGTAGGTGTGTGTAGGTGTGTTTTAGGTGCAGGTGAAGGATACAGGACAGTGGAGGTGGAGGTGGAGGTGGAGCTCTGGGCCGGTGTCTGCAGACTGAGCTCCTCCAACATCTTCCTCAGCCTCAGCTTGTGCTCCTCTGTCAGTGGAGGCTGCAGGACGCTGCTCTGAACCTGGATGAACAAAAGAGAGAGAGAAAAGATGAAGAATAATGGTAGATTCAGTGGAGGCTGCAGGACGCTGCTCTGGACCTGGATGAACAAAAGAGAATAATGGTAAACGGTAAATGGTTTATGGAACTTTTTGGTCTCAGTTTCCATTGAGTTCCATTCACATCCATCCAACCATCAATTAACCAATCCTCTGATTCCCATTCACACACACAGCCTGGGCTTCGATGCCTCAACAAAGGACAGATAAACAACGCCCCAGCAGGTGAAACCCACAGGGACCGTGATCTGAAGCCTGACCTTCTGGTTGAAGGACAACCTGTTCTACTTGCTACGTTTAAGAATAGAAGAACACACAAAAGGACAGGAGGCAGAATGAACAGAGAGATGAGAAGTCATTGAAACACTCAGACTGCTCTGAGTGTTTCAATGACTTCTCATCTCGAGGCAGAAAGAAAAACACGTCTTGAATCTCTTAGTTACTGATGAGCGCCACGAACATAAAGCTGTTATTATTTGATTTACTGACTTTTATGTGCGACTGACTTTCTTTTAACCACTAAAGTATAATTTAATGATTTTTTTAAAGTAACCTCTTCTCTTTTCTCCACAGATTAAAGTTGTTAATATTTTCCAACGACTCTAAGGTCAGAGATTTCCTACAGACACTGCACAGCTTTTTTCAGTTGACCGCAGGGCAGCAAACAAAAATGTGAATCCACGAGTCTATGACTTTTTATATTTAGAAAGATGAGGTCACATTTCAGCCCAAATACAAGCACAAGGTTGTTGTTTTTTATTGTTATTTCTTCGGTGTTCAGCAGTGAATGTTTGTGAGTGGCTTTATCTTTTTTTTAATGTGTTTAACTGAGACTTGACATATAAATTGCTGCATTTAAAATCACAAAAAGTGTTAGCCGTATATATCAAGATCCAACTCTGGAAATAGCTGTGTTTACATTGAAGTAATACAGTGTATACACATATAGAACTTAGCTACGTTTTTTCCTATAGAGACTACATTTTTTTAATATTCATAAAAAAACATTATATACAGTACCTGCAGAATTGAGTAATACAGTGTATACACATATAGAACCTAGCTACGTTTTTGCTATAGAGACTTGATTTTTTATATGCATAAAGATTTATGCAACATTCAGGCATTCAACACACACACAACTGCACACTTGTAATTTACAGAAAACCAAACAAAAAGCAAAAAAAAAAAAAAAACAACCAAAAAACCCAGTTTGTTTTAAATGTCAAAAAGACGGAAAAAAAGACTAATGTGCCTGAAAGAGGAAAGGCAGTAAATTAAGCTGTACTGAAGACACTTAAGGTTATAGAGAACCACGGACAGTTAAAAAGCAGCAATAACAAAACTTTAATCTCTTGTGGAAAAAAATGGCTTTAAAAAAAAATATTACAAAAGGTCACAGAACAACGGCTGCAGAGACTGCGGTTATTTTTCGCAACCTGTTTATGACCAACAAACAAAAAAAATAAAAACTCAGATTTTAAATGCAATGTAAGCAGAAAATGACTGGAGTTTTTGTTAATGGTAAATACTTGCAACTCCTGCGTTGCTGTATTATATACTGTATATAGTTTGTTGCTACATGGCTGCAGCTCGTCGCCCAGGTTTGCCATCACTCTCTGGTGAACCGTATCATGGAGAAACTTTCGATCCAGATAGTGAATTTCATCGGTCAGGCTTTTGGGCTGTTTACCTTCTTTTATTACAGCTAAGTACCTATTAAAACACCACCCATCTGTCTGATGGTTAATACAGAGACACAGCTATTAAAAAAAATCCTCCTCCTTTATTTTAATGCTTTAATTCATGCACGTGTCTTTTCATTTATTATTTTGCTTATTATTCTGCCAATTTCTCAATTGTTCTTTTCCTCTCGTCCTCACATTCATCAAGTCTGACAGTTCAGCTGAACTGAGCCATCTTCATAAAGAACTGCACAGGTTTAAGAGAGAAAATGCAGAGATGGAAATCATGGTAACACTGTGGAAGTAAACTCCATGGACTGCTCTGGATTTAAACTCTTGGACAGATGCCACGGTATAATTTGAATCGGGTTTTAACATCATTTCTGACAGATTAAATCTGAAGTTTTCATTTTTTTTAACACCTTCACAGAAGACGAGTGCCGCTCTTGAAAATTAAAGAGTGTTCCGACACATTTCACGTTCGCTCACTTGAAAGTAAAGTAGCAGGTAAATGAATTCATGTTTTGGATTAATGTTGTTCTTATTTTAAGAATGCAAATGTAAGATTGAAGACAAA